GTAAGGGATTTTCGTAATTCGGAAATTTCACTTGAAATCATTGTAAGCACGCCTGCACAGGTGACGCACAAGTGCCGTAAGGGTGCCGCATGAGTAGTGCATAAACAACACCCCCTCTGCGGCCGAAAATAGCAACTAAAACTCTGCTGGTTCGACTGTAATAATCTTATTATTTAAGATCAATAGTATAAATTTGCAAATAATATTATCGATTCTTAGTATAGTAATATACAGTATATATGGACAATACATATAATAAAAATCTGACCTCAGCTTAGCAGTGATTTTTTTCCCGAAATAAATAACATGGGGGTGTTCTCCATACCTCATGTATGCAACACTCCTACGGCACTTGTGCGTTACCTGTGCGTCACCTGTGCAGCATGCCACGCAGGTGAATTTATGTGAAATTTCCGGATCATGAGAGCTCCTATATAAATGCAAATATGTGACTTTATTGCTGACCGAACTTTCGATTTCCGAAATATAAACCGGAATAAAATCGTATCACCAAAAACATAATAAGTACGGAAATTTCACTACAATTTCGTCTACACGAGTGCTGCACAGTTGACGCGTGGGTGACGCAAGGGTGACGCAAGAATGCCGTAGGGGTGTTGAATACGGAGAACACCCCCATGTCTTTTATTTTAGGAAAAAAATCTCTGCTCCTTAGAAGTAAAAAAAATAATATAAAAAAATAATATAAAAATTGAATATGAATAAGCTGAAGGCGACTAAATGTTAAATAAGATTTTTCGGTCCCTATTTTTTTAATAATACAAAACTTTAAGACTACAATTATAAGGTCCAAAAAATCCCTGCCCGCCTTCAAAGATAATTACCCAAATGCGTATTTCTCAAAGAAATAAATGTTTCGACAAGACAACGCTAATAAATTGCGTAAAATTGGTCAATAACCTGAGTGGTTAGTTTTCTTATGAAAATTTCGATTAAAAAAAGTAGACAAAGTGTGATTGCAAAATTGGTGGGTTAAAACATGATTGCCAAATTGCTACGATGAATTAATGTGTAGTATAAGAATCAAATAAAGGTTGAATATGTCATACAGGATAGTATATTGTACTTTTGTACTTTAAAGAGGCTTTAAATCGGTAAATTAAATAAAATTACAGGATATTACAAAGCGTGGGAATTCATGTCATTGTATTCAAATATGGAAATTTACTGTATATCATCATCAAAGTCAATCGTCATTTTTTCAGCAAGGGGAGAAATATCCCTGCTTGCTTTTCTTGAAAGTAAAAATGGATAATGAAAGACCTCTCATTGAGCTTCTAGAAGAACTCTCGGATTCTCAGAATAGATGTCGGAGCGCGTTTCTTGAACGTTGCCTCAAAGCATCATCATCTGAACTGGAGGAGTTTTTCAATGAATTGTCTCAATCTCTGAATAACTCTTGTGATGATTACCTAGCAAAATTGCAAACTTTCGCTTCTTATCTATACGATGAGTATTCGAGAACTATCAGGCGTCTTAATCTCACACCTGATTTCATCAACTTTATTTCAATGCTGATAACTTATGTTATCATAGAAAATCTTGGTCACTCCGACAATCAAAAATTTGTGAAGTTCCTTGACGACTGCGTCGAACTCCTTTGGCGAGCTCAAAATGACAGATTAATCGATTCAACTAATAATAAAGGAAATAATTTATTATTGCAAGCGATGAGTCGTTTATTTAATGCAATTCTAGATGCCGATGGAGTTTTCGGAGTTTTAGTGTCAGAAACTCCCGGTCGACATTGTATCAAGCGCGTTCTGTTTGGCTTCAACATGATCACGCAGGTCGAGCAGGAAAAACTACTCAGAGCAGAAGACACGATCGCTTTTCTAGTAGAAAAATGTTTTAAGCACGGAGAGGTTTCATCCAGGATAAAAGAGGATTTAGTCACTTACAAGGCCTGTACGGACTTACTGGAAACTCTGAAGAGGCTTCAAAGTGCGGAGATTGACCTAAGATCTAGAAGGAGTTCTCTACCACCAGATTTGCACGAAATGGTAGAGCTTGAAAATAGAAAGGAAGAGAAACAGTATCAGAACAGAAAACGATCAGTCAGTAATTCCGCGATCGATTTCAATTCGGTTATTCTATCTGGTCAAAATAAAAAGAGCCTTGAATTACTGAGAATAAAAGCTCCTCAGAAGCCTTCGGAATTGCATAACTTTTCGTTGACTCTTAAACAAAGGAAAATGGATTCATTCAAAGTAGGTTTGATTCCTTTTTCTGGCATTGCAAATGTTTTAGAATACATTGATAAATGCAGTAAATTAAAAAAACATTTTCGTAATGTGTGCAAAAATTGATGATTTTTGATTATTTAGGGTCTGATTGAGTTTTTTCCGTGCGCGAGTTGTCACAGAAGAGCCCTTAAGAATTTTCATCCTGAAAAGTATTCTTCACTTGAAGAAAAAGAGTCTTCAGCACCACAGCACATCTTTCGCCTTCCATTTGAATTCGATGAGAATGACAGACTTGGACCATGGGACATTCTTCTCAGTGAGGACGCGATTAAAGACATGGGAAAGTTGGAGTCACCTATTAAAATTAAAGTAGTCATGAAAAAGCTCGGTCAAATATCATCCGGGGAATGGGTAAAACATGGACTACGGCATAAGGTGTCATCTTCCGATATCCCTGTCTACGAAGTGAAGCTTCCTGAATATGACTTGACGATCCTCTGGCAAGTTGACTACGGTTTCTCTATCCGCAGCTATTCAGACATGCAACTTGTGAAAATTTGGGCCGTTACTGCTAATCAAGAACAAATTCACACGACATTGGAAAATCTCGCGATGGTTCATCAAGTTTACACTGATAAACATAATCGCTATTGCTCAATTCCAGAGAGTGAATGCGACATCATTTTACCAACTTATTTTGAATGCGAAGGGGAAACCAAATCTACCGACGAAGAGCTGTTCGGTCCCAAGATGGATGACGAAAGATTACTAGAAGTTCACAGGATGCTTGTGACGAATAAATTTATTCCTTTATCAAAGGTAAAGTATGAGGAATATGAATCATATAGAGTGGATGTTCTAAATATGTAGAGCCATGAATTAATTCTCAAGAATTAATGTCCCTCGTAGAATTTGTTCAAATCGCTTGTTTTTGGATCCTCCGATTTCACTTTCCAGGTATCCAAAGTCGAATACGAGATAATTAATAATCCTAGATCAGCAATCATCGTCGGTCGATCGGGTTGGTATTTCGGCTTTATAATGATCACAGTAAATTTAGTTTTAGCGTTGATAATTTATATTATATACAGGGACCGGAAAGACTACTTGTATAGTTTTTAGACAAATTGCATCATATCTAACAAACAAATTGGATAAAAAGCAGATATTTATAACAGTAAGTTACAATCTATGCCGCCGGGTAAAAGAATATTTCCATCGGCTACGGGAGTCGGCGGTTCTTGCAGGGAAAAAGATGTCAATTGCCGAATTTAATGAGTACGCAAGAAGGAAGGAGGAGGAGGAAGCTGGCGATGATGATAGCGATATCGATTTAGTGGATGATGATGATATGATTGAAGAAGACGATGAAAAGAGGGAATTGAGTGACATTCCAAACTCGTTCCATCTATTAAAGGATCATCACTTTCCATTATTCATCACCTATGACAAGTTCTCCGAAATGCTTCAAGGGACCTATGGCATCGACATTCAAAAATTAACTACGCAACAAAAAGAAATCGAAGATGATGATATATACACCAGCGAAGATGATGAGGAAAAGTTCCCTTTAATAAATGTATCCGATGCGTCTTGGGCTCACTTTGTTGACTATAACCTCTTTGAAAAAAAATATTGGCCCCATTTCAATTATTGTTATAGAAAGAAGCTGAATTGCGAGCTAGTCTATTCGGAATTCTCCATCATCAAGGTATACGCTTATATGTAAGATGTAATATTCAGAATAATTATTTTAATATAATATATATAATTACGAAGGGTACAAATCCAGAAGTGGATTGTCTCTCAAGAGATGATTATCGAACAATAAGCTATAAGAAATACCCAGCATTCTGCAATAACCGTGATGAGATCTATGATTTGTTTGAAAGATACGAGAAGATGAAGGCACGAAACGGTGATTATGACTCTGCGGATCGGTAAGAACAGATGCACATTTTGATTTTGATTTTGGAATAGACTTTTATATTTTTTTACAGAACGTTAGCAATCCTACGCGCGGCAAAGAAGTGTACACTTGGTGGTCCATATGTTCACGAACTATACATTGATGAATGTCAGGACAATCAAATCTTGGATTTTTCACTTATCTTAAAGCTCTTTGACAAAGCAGAAAGCATTATAATGGCCGGAGACATAGCTCAATGTATTGCGCGGGGTTCTTCTTTTCGATTTCAAGGTACAAGCACTTTTATAATTAAAAAAAAAAAAGCGTATTGTTATTTTTTATGTTATCATATTCTTCACAATTTCTTTTTAACATTCTAATATAGACTTACGTGCCTTAATGTATAAATGGGAGCTCGACCATCATATGTACAGTAGTATAAAATCAAAGATGTTTGAGTTAAACACCAACTATCGTTCCCACAACGGGATCATTCAACTTGCATCGTCAGTGATTGATCTCATCAAACGCTTTTTTCCTGATTCCATTGATCACTTGTCGCGCGAGCGTGGTGAGGTTGGTGGACCTCGACCAATCTTCTTTGCAGAAATTGAAGCCAAGACATTCCTGTTCAACGTTTTCTGCGCTGGTGACCCCACAGCTAACTGTGTTGAATTTGGCGCTGATCAAGTTATTATCGTACGCAACGATGAAACTAAAAAGCATGTGAGAAACCTAAACGAGAATGCCGGATTAGTACTGACAGTTTTCGAAGCGAAAGGGATGGAATTTAATGATGTCCTATTGTATAACTTCTTTACCGAATCTCCCGCGTGCTCAAAGGTATATATTTGCATTTATTTAAAATGACACAAGTTAACTTATTGATCATTGTACGGACAATATTTTTGCAAACCAATCCAGTGGCGAACAATTCTTTCCGATTTGGAAAACAGCACCGAGACTTTATATGACGAAAAGCCTTATATACTTTCTTCCGAACTCAAACACCTTTATGTTGCGCTAACTAGAGCCCGGGAGCGTCTCTGGATTTTCGATGAAAATTCCGAGTGGAGCAGACCAATACTGACGTATTGGATGCATCATGGATTGGTCCGAGTGGTCAGTAGTATAAAAGAAATCAATACGCTTCCGACTTTGGCTAAAAAGAGCAGTTCACAAGAGTGGAATCGACAAGGAAAGAAATTCTTCGAACGGCGTCAATATGAGCTGGTGAAATGACATTCTAAAATATTTCATGTTTAATGGTAAATGTGATACCTAAACAAATGAAGTTACCCTTAGGCCATTACCTGTTTTGAAAAGAGTGGAAATGAAAAAAGAAAAAAACTAGCATCCGCATACCTCCTTCAACAAAACGCCAGAAACTCTGTGAACGATTCCGACGAAGCAACTGTGAAGTCCAATTTTAAACTCGCAGCCCAAGCATTCAATGAATGTTCCCGACCGATACAGGAAGCCTCATGTTATCAGGTAGAGTTTATTTTTTTTTCATAATGCGTTTATATGATTATTTGTACCTTAAATATTTAACAAATTTAAAATAATCAGGATATTAAAATGTATAAAGAAGCGGGTGATGTTTACAAAAATTGGGACATGTTTGAACTCGCAGCGCGTAGCTACATTAAAGGAAATAAGTGGCACGAGGCCGGTGATTGCTTTGCAAAAGCCAAGATGTACAACGAAGCCACTGTTTCCTATAAAGATGGTAAATTATACGAGATAGCAGTCAATTTTATGGAGAGGTAGGCAGTCACCCATTTTGAGTAAATTAGTGTTAATCTTATTACAGTAATACAGTGAATTCTTTTTTTTTTTTTTTTCAGACACAAACCAAATATTGACGAGAAAATATTTCGTCGCATTATCCGTCTTATCTATGTCTGTTGTCGAAAGGATAATAAAGATCTAAGCGAGAAAGCCCTCTCTATGCTTACAAAGCAAGAGGACAGAATTGAAATTCTCAAAGACCATGCGCCAGAAGAAGTTCAGGAAGTATACAAACGAGAGGGACAATTTCGTGACGCCGCAGAAGAATTATGTTCACGTGGTAAATTCGAAGAGGCATCCGATGTTTACATCCGTTCATCTGAAAATGAAGATATTATCAAATCATTGCAATGTCTTTTGCATTTATGCCGGACAAATATACTAAAAAATACGATAGGTGATACCATGAACCCGAAAGCTCGAGAGGAGCTGCAGAATATCGTCTCAAAGGCAATTAATTTAACCACATCACGGTCGGTGAAATCGGAATCATGGATTATTTTAGTGGAGGAGACTCAGTTATACTTATCTTATCTAAATGAGAATTTTGATGCAGTTCGTAAAGGAATAATGGCTTTCAAAAAGTACAGAGAACCCGTAGCTGAATTTCGTGCGATAAGCATGTGGTTAACAATTCCAGCACCATCGGATGTTAATGTTGATTACTGGTATGAACGTTTGCAATTTCTGCAGAGATTGTGTGAATTGATTATTCCGTCTAATGCCTCACCGCGAAATGCCAAAGATGTCGAGAAAATCAAGAAGAGTTTTGAGAAAATTTGTCTCGTGAAGAGGGTGACAAGTCGTCCAAATCAACGGAAAATTTCTTTCGATAACCCACTTCTTGCCCTCTTAGGCGATAATTTTGTGGAGATGGATTATTGGCATGTTTTTGATGTGAACGTTGTACACAAGGAAGTTTCGAAACTCATTGGTACATACATATATGAGCTCATCCTTAAGACAAATCGAGATGGTAGAGAAATTTCAGAGATAACTTCAGAGATATGTGAATGCCAAAATCCAAGAAGTTGCCGGAGGTACCACGTGACACTAAATCCATCAATTATCAAAAAACGATTGAAACTCGCATGCCTTCAATATACCGTAATGAGGCAATTAAGTACATTAGAATTTCATCGCTTGCTTAACGAAGATCAAAATAAGGAAGTATTTGGCCCACAAAGGTTTTGGGCTGAAAAGCTGGTGAAACTTCATTTTCGCTATCAGTCCCCCCACACAAGCTGTCCGGAGATCACATACATGGTGATCAACGAACTTCCTAATTTCACATATAATGGGCTCATTGGTCTGACGTACAAGAGATGGCTTAATGATAAAGAATTCGAAGTCGATAACTTTGCCAAAATGTTAAAATTTATATTTTTTTCCATTCAGTTGCGGAATATATGGGGAATTGAAAAATTCAATTGGAAGGTTTCAGAAATAAGACCTTATTCTGAAAATTATCTGATTGGTTTTGGATATGACCCAAAATATCATGAATACAGGGCGATCGGAAGACGACTTTCGTTATTCCTTTTATATCTCGATTCTGATGAACTAATTCCCGCAATTAATCATGCAAAGGCGTTTATTTACTATGCCATAAGTAACTTGGAGAGCGTTAAAATAATGCCAGATGGAACAGCTTCTGAACCTTTTAAACCAAAAGCGAGAAATTCACTTGGTGATCTCATATCCCTTATGGAGTTCACAGTTTCTTGTATCTTTTCTGCTCGTCCATTCCATTTTGATTTTCTTCTTCCTCGAAGTTATTTAGTTAATTATTTTTATTCATTCAAAGAAACGCCACTCCTGCCGCATCAATATTATTTCAAAAAAGAACAATATGGCAAATCAATTTATGATCTATTTTATCAAACGCGAGAACTTCTCGACATTCTAATCAGTAAAAACTTTTTCTACTCACCTATTATCCTTCGACTAATAAGGATTCTGGTACTTATTGGCCTGAACGACTATAGACTTGCGAATAAGGTCACGAATTATTTTATTCTAATTTTCCCCTCAGTTCCCGGAAGATTCAGGACATACCTTCAAGAGAATACCATGTCACGCCTTGCAGGCGTTTTAAATAACGATCTCAAAGGGACAGGCTGCGATTCTCTTCTTATTGTCTACTATAACCTTGGGGGAAAATCAAGATTTGAAGATTGGAAGAAATTTGGCATCGAAAAGCTCACATATAAATCTATCGAGGAATTCCGTTCTTCCCTTAGAAATTTAATGGTTCCAGAAGCTTCCGGAGAAAAAACCGCTTCAGCCATTCCACAGTCAACCAAAGGGAACGAACAGAATTCTGTTTCAATACTCGTGACCAATGAAGATGACGACCGCGATCACGATCACGATCACGACGACCGCGACGACGATGATGATAATGAAGATGACGATGAAAATGATGACAATGATGATAATGATAATGAACCAGCCACGGGTATCCATTCCTGGTTTCATCAAATTCGTGATTCAACTCAGGCTCAAGACGCGGCAAACCGAATCCAAGTCTGGTTTCGCCAAATTGCGGAACGAGAAAAATATCGTAAATCCCACGGTGATCAGATCCTGGATAAAATTTATTATGAAGCGATGGAATTTAGTCAAGTTTTAGTGAAAGAGCATGGAAAAAGTTCTGCATTAAAATATGTCATTTACTTGAGAGGACTCACAGTGGACATAATTGTGAAGCTAATTAAAATGCAGGGTAGAATGGATAAAAATAAAATTAAATTAGACAAATTAATTAAGAAATTAGATCCCGATAGTGACTTGAAGGAAACATGTTTGGATTTGCGGGATGAACTAAGGTCTATTGATTGTCGTTCTTTACAGTATCTGGTTTCTTTGTTAACCCAAGTTTATTCAATTTTAGGATCACTCATAACGATAATGTCGAAGAAATGTTAAATTCGTTATCAATAACTGAATCGAAAAAACACAAGGAAATGAACATTGAATGGTTAAAAAAAGAATTGGAGCGTGCGAGCGGTACTACTATAGTTCAGGTTTCAGAATGGATCAGTAAATGCGATGAGCTATAAAGTCGTGAATTTTTTGCTAGTTATCATGTATAAAGCATAATGGTGATTACATTGGTTGAAAAAAAATGTGCAAGATGCTTGAGACAATAAATCTGTTAAGGCCTTTGCAATTAATTTCGACATTTTCCGGTCTAATGTAATCATCCATGTAAAAGTTTCACCATTTCATTGAATCGTTTTTTCAATACATTGTTTTCGAATATTAATGCATTTAAAATTTTTTAGTTATTTTAATTGAAAAATATTTTTTAAATTTGTTAAATCAATTTTCAAATATAAATTCATGTTTGTAGTTTTTTCAAAAAAAGAAATCTAGCCATTAATATAAATTTACGATATTGTGGATTGGGTGTAATTACAAATTTGTAAATTTGCATTCCTGGTTTAGTTTATTTTGACTCGAGTTTTAAATAATTCAACGGAATAAAAAAATGCTATTTTAACACTGATTGGTTTAGAAAATAGAAGTCAAGTACCATTTTTATGTTGGAATCTTTCAAATTTACTATTACACTTAAATAATCAGAATTATGTATTATCAAAAGTTTAATTACTTAAATAAAAACCCAGATAGGTAAAATTCGTTACTTGGATGATTTTATAACATAAAAAAAAAAATCAAGAAAATTGATAACGTTAATTAATAATTTCAAAAGATTTTTGATAATATATCTTTTCGAAATTTATATACAGTGATTGATTAAGAATATTTAATAAAATCCGATTTAATAATTTTTTTTTAAATAAAAAAACGGAACATTATTAATTAATTGAAAATAATAAGATATATATTTCAAAGTTATATCTTTAAAGAAAAACAAAATTTAACTCAAATAGACAAATTTTTATAATTATTTATTTTACTTAGTAGATACAGTAAAAATATAAAAAAGATTTATTAAAAAAGATTTATGTAAACATATTATTTATTTATTTTATATTTATTTTATTTATCTAAAATATATAATGTTTTAAATATGATATTGATAACTGTTGTTATTATAAAAATTCGAATTTAAATTTAAACATATTTATTAAAAAAAGAATATTTGAAAAAAGTAACTATACAGATACATTATACACTAACAATGATATTATTATTCTAAACATGATTTTTTATTTAAACTTGTATTATTTTTTATGCAAATTAAAATAATCTTGATTTTTAAACCTATATTTTATATTAGAAATTTTAAATACAGTAAATATTGTAGTTATTTAATAATTGTAAAAATTTTGATTTTTTAAATTTTTTTGCTACACACTGTATGTATATATATGTTTTAATAAACTGTATCTTTAATGCTTTATTTAAAATTTAATAATAAACGAATTATAAATATTAATTATATTATATTTATATTGTTTTGATTATTTTTTTTAATTATATTTTTATTCTTTTTACAGTACTTAAACTAATTAATAATCATGTTATTTAAAACTATATCTTATTGCTATTTATTTTCTTCATTATTTTTTTGATATTTATCTTATATTTTATTAATAAAATTAGAACAAAACAAAATTAAACAAAATTATTTTGAATACTTTTATTTACCTTAATCGTGAAGAACTATAGAAAATAATGCAAAAGAATTTTTTAGAATTTTTTAAAATAATAAACACAAGATACTATACTATTTATAAATCAAGGTTATAATAGAAATATTGAAAAATGTAATATATGTATACTATGGACAGTAGGTATAGTTTTAGTATAGATACTGTAATAATACTATAAAATATTTTGCTGACCAAGTGATAAAGTTTAAAGAGAACACAAAAAGTACAGTCTGTATTGACTTGAATCTTTTATAAAAGGCGCATACTAGTGTTGTGGGCTCAATCGATGAGTATCTGTCGCTATTGCCAGTCGTCTCTACCTAATGCTAAGTAAGTTGAATGTCAACTCTTTAAACTCTTGAGAGATATTACGATTTAACCGGTATCTTTCTTTTGCTTACTAACTTTGATACCTCTTGATGCTCGAACTCTATTAGTCGCTAGGGCTTTCTCAGTCCACCAAGCCAAACTTTTAGCTCAAATAGTCACGTGGGCAAGTTAATAGCGCTTTATACGACAGGAAAATAAGACACCAGTAAGAATTTATCTTTAAACCAGTTATTTATTTTATTCGAGACTTAAAAGAATTTAATCAACATACATGCTATCAAATTGCGCATATATTATACATGCGCTTATTATTTACCTATCTACATTTGTTTACTATTCTAAGCTATTCTAGAAATTTTCACCCAGTTTTTCCCACCTTAATTTTCTCACAGTTCGCGACAATAGGATGACGTAACGCGATATCGCGTTGCTTGTCTGCGCCGAATTTATCTATAACACTAGAGAAAGAAGAACAATATAGGACATAAATTCATGCATTTTTATAACTATATAATTCTGATCATAAAGTTATTTACGAAGAATACTCTAAAGGCATTATCTAATACGTAAAATACGTTTTTGGCTGTTGTTGTGGGAACAATCGGGATAGGAACACGATATTGTGACGCGTTGCGCAACAATAAGTATTGGTGATGGTGGAATGATGTAATAATTGGTAATAGC